TAAAATGTTTCCCTCCTTCAGAAATGACGCCATGTACGTGGATGAACACGGCCACCAGAGGCACTGAAACAGCCAACAGCGCGTTTTGTACGCCTTTGTTCGGTTTTCATTTGATGTTCTTACTAGAAAATCACTTTTTTTTTTTAAATCTACAGGGGGAAGGGGTAGTTAGGTGTACTTGCTGATTTTGACAGAGGTGCTGGGGATTGAACCCGGGACCTCGTGCACACTAGGCACGCGCTCCACCCCTGAGCTGTACCCTCCCCCTAGAAACTCATTTTTACTACTATTTTACACCCACATTCTTATTATGGTTTACAAAGTATTAGTTCATAACGGATTGGAAAGTTTTTGTTTTCAAGGCTTTCAACACAAATCGTGCAGAGCAGCGAAGTGAGTCTGCGTGGAAAGTGGTCTTGAGCTGGGCGCTAGAGAAGGGCTGTGTTTGGGTTAGGGCAAGGGGCAAGGGGCAAGGGGCAAGGGGCAAGGCCTAGGACAACGATGACGGCTACCCTGTTTTTTGGGAGTGAATCCAAGCACGGAGGGTCATATCTCCTCACGACAGTCCTGGGACTTGTATATCTTGCTTTTCAGGTGAGAAAACGGAGGCTTAGAGAGGTTTCCTTACTTGCCCAAGGTCATTCTGCAAAGGGACAGACCCAGGGCTCAAACCCTGGTCTGTTTAATGCCAACACATGATAGGGTTAGGAATTCCCTAGGTTACTGGGAGACTAACCAGGCAACAGCCTAGTGAAATAAGCTGTGATGGGACAGGGCTCCCAGCCTGGGAAGAGAGAAGAGTCCAGGTAGCTAGGTAGTGGAGGAAGAATTGTGGAGCGCCGTGAGAGCCAAGTGAACACTGGAGAAAGCCAGCCAGTCAAGTGGAAGTTTTTCAGAGTACCTTTGCTTTGCCTATGAACTCAAATGCACACACCTTTGTCTCTAGGCTGCTTTACTGGGTGGAGAATGTCAGTCTTTTTAATGAGAATGATGTGTACCTGAATTAATTATTTGAACTCTTTTCATTGAACTGTCTAAGCTGCTCTTTGGATGGGAAGTCGGTACTTGTGAACGGGACGAAGGAAAGTGATGTAGTGTGTGGCCCAACATCAGCTGACTTCTCTCCAGGTACCCCCTCCACCACCGTGCCTGCCCTTGGGAGAGAGCCAGGTAGCTGGTTTGTTGCTGTTAAATCAAAGTGAATGTATCAAGGCTGTTCTGATTGGTACCTAAATCACTCCAGTATCATGATGTTTTGCATCTCTGCCTACAACAGTCACCTTCAACACTCCTTCCTCATTTTACGCTGGCTTCAAGGGACCCATCCATTTCCCCGGGTGTTTGTTTTTCAGTCTGAGTTCCACAGGAGCAAGCAGAGCAAGGTGGGACTTGATCCAAACAGACACTGCATCTTTGATTATGCCAAGTAAAGGCAATTATAGAGTCCTGTTTCTATATGCTAGAAAGGCCAAACCACTTAGTTTTTGGAGGCCCCTAGGAAAATTCTTAAGGTCTTTAAAAAGGGTTTTCTTAACAAGCAGCCAAGTTTACAAAGTGAGCTAACTGGAGATGCCCAAGGCGCCTCTTCTCATGGTTACGAGCTTACAAATGCAAATATACAAACATTTGCAAAAATGGATTTTTGCCTGAATTTCTCCTTTTGCTCTTTTTTTTTCTTTTTTTAAGGTCACACCTCCCAGGTCATCATCTTCTTTCTCGCACTGACATCAGCTGCATTGCTGTTCCTGGTGTCCTTTCTGATGCTCCGTTTCTCGGCTGTTAAACAAGGCAGAAAGAAACTCCTGTATATATTCAAACAACGTAAGACAAACATAAACATTTTAGATGTGAGCTTTTTGAGGCTAGGCTTTTTACAGCAGAAAGGAAAAGATGATTTTTTTTTTAAGTTACAGAAGCTAAGTCACATGGTGGTTATCAAGAGGGACAGTTTTGCTCCCAAGGGGACATCTGGCAATGTCTGGAGACAGTTCTGGTGGTCACTGTCTAAGGGATGCGGAGGGAGTGCTCCTGGCATCTAGTGAGTGGAGGCCAGCGATGCTGCGAAATATCCTATAATGCACAGGAAAGCCCCCTCAACAAGGAGTTATCCAGCCCCAAATGTCAGTAGTGCCGAAGGAGGGAAAGCCTGGTGACAGCAGGACATAATCCAAGGGTTCCAGAAAAATGGCCATTTAAGTGCGCTGCAGCCTCGGACTGTGTGTGTGTGTGGTGGGGGTGTGACCAGTCAGTTGTGGATACAGGATATTGACAAAGAGGAACCAGAAGATCACGTCTGCCCCATCTAGCACTACGCCTCTGGCTAAGGAGCAGCCTTAACCTGAGCTAGACCCACACACACAAGGAGACCTAGAGAACTTGGCGGGAGCTCGAGGCGATTTAATGAGATGGATTATTCTGACACAGATCTGGATTAAATGAGAAATTTCAGTGATGGATTCCATTCATTAAACAAGATACTATTTCTATAAGGAACGCTGCAAGTGCCTGGCACAGAGTCAACACTCATTAAGCAAAGGCTATTAATATTTATTCGAAAAGGCTTAGATGGGGACAACCTGCATTATGTCTTCATGGAAGTCAGAACCGTAAGATAACAACTCAGCTTACTTAGAGGGGTTCATATATAGGAGGGGCACTCTGAGCGGTCTGTGATATAACCTAAAACACCGTAGGAAGGCTGGAGAGTGTCTCCTGTTGGGCTTTTAAAACTATATGAAGATGTAGTAAAGGATTAGTTAAGTCTTGTCTACGGATGCAATACACTAACTGGTAGAAAGGCTCTTTTTGAAAACAGTATCTTTTAACATTGTGAAATAAAACATACAGAAAAAAAAACGTATACATGTCAAGTGTAACAGATCTTACAGTGAACACCTGTGTAACTCTACCCAGGTCAAGAAATAGAACAGTGTCTGCCCCCCCGGAAGCCCTTCTTGTGCTCCTTCCAGATGAAAACCTCCCTCCCCACTCGTGCTAACCACATCTAGATTTTAATGGTGTTCACTTCCTTGCTCTTATTTATAGTTTTGCTGCCTAAGAACATGGTTTAATTTGGCTGCCTGTGAACTTCATGCAAGTGGAATCACTCTGTGTCTATTCTGCATTTTCCCTCCCTTTTTCACTCAGCATTTGATCTTTGTGATTTACCCACATGTTGCGTTTATCTTGTGTTGGATATTCTTCTGTTGAATGACTATATCATAGGTTTGTTTATCCATTCTAATATTCACAGACACTTAGGTTGTTTCCAGTTTGGGGCTGTTATAAACAAGGATATTTGAATATTTTTGTCTGTGTATCTCAGTACACATAAGCACGTCTTTTCTTTTCCTCCCCTCCCCTCCTCTCTTTTCTTCTCTTCTTTTCTTTGTTACCTAGGAATAAAATTGCTGGAATATGAGGAATGTGTATCTTGGTTCTTAGTACTAGATACACCAAACTGTCTTCCAGAATGGTAGGACCCCGTTTACCCTTTCCCAGCAGCAGATTAGAGTTCTTTTTGCTCCAATCGCTGCTGACACTAAGTATAAGACTTAATTTTCTATCTGTTTGGTGGATGTGTAAGTAGTATCTCATGGTTTTAATTTGCATGTCCCCGATCACTGGTGAGATTAGACATCTTTTCATGTTCTACTGGTCATTTGGATTTCTTCTTTTGCAAAGTGCCTGATCTTTTGAGCATTTTCCCATTGGGTTGTTTGTCCTTTCCTTATTAATCTATAGGAATTTTTTAGTCTACTCTTTATGTGCTGCAAATGTATTTTCCCACTCTGTGGTTTGTTCTTTGATTCTCTTTTTGAGGTCTAAACCTGTGATTTAAACCTCTAAGCTCTCACTAAAACCTCTGAGTTCAACAGCTAACCTCCTGGCTTCACCCCGCACTACAATAAAGGTCTTTATAAGATGATTTACAAAGGCATTTATGAGTAATTAGTGAGTTTCAATGGAACTAAAGTCCATTTTAAAAATTTTAGGTTATTTTTCAATACTTTCTATTTTGAAGTAATTGTAGACTCACAGGAAGTTGTAAAGACAGTACAGAAAATTCTCATGTGCCATTCATGAGGTTCTATTTTGTACAACTGCAGTACAGTATCAAAATCGGGCTATTGACATTGGCACATTGTGTGTATTTAATTATACGTCATTTTGTCACATGAGTAAATTGGTATAAGCACCAACACAGTCAAAATACAGAACTATTCCATCACCTCAAAGATCTCCCTTCTGCTAGTCCTTTAGATTCTCATACAGTCCCTCTTCCTCACCATTCCCAACCCCTGGTAACTATGGATCTGTTTGGGATGATAAACGTGCAACCTTTGAAGACTGGCTTTTTTGCTTAGCTTAATGCCACTGAGATCCATCTGAGTAGTTGTTGTTTCAATAGTTCACCTTTTTTTTTTTGAATCATTAACTAGTATTTTGTGGTGTGGCCGTACCACATTTCGCTTGACCATTCACCTACTGAGAGACGTTTTGGTTGTTTCCAGTTTTTGACCATGACATTAGAGCTGCTATGAATAATCCTGTACAGGTCTTGGGTGGACATAAGTTTTTGTAGCTCTATGATAAATGCCCAGGAAGGCAGATACTGGGTTGTAAATATATGTTTAGTTAGTTTTTTTTTAAGAAACTGCTAAACTGTTTTCCAGAGGAGCTAACATTTCACCAGCAATGTATGAGAAATCCAGTTTCTCCTCATCCTTACCAGCATTTTGTATTGTCCCAATTTTAAGTTTCAGCTGTTCTAACAGTTGTGTGGTGATATCTCATTGTGTCTTAAGTTGCCTTTCCCTAAAGGTTGAACATCTTTTTGTGATCTCATTTTCTATGTGCATACCTTCATCAGTGAAATGTTACTTCACGTCTTTTGCCCATTTTCTGATTGAATGCTTTGTTTTACTGCTCACATTAGATTATTCTTTTTATCTCCTAGACACGAGCCCTTTGTCAGATATGAAGTTTGTAAGTATTTTCTCCCAGTCTGTAGCTTGCCTTTTCATCCTCTTCACATGGTCTTCTGCAGAGAAAAAGCCTGTAATTTTAATGAAGCCCAATTGGCCAATTTAAAAAAATCTATGGAATCATATCTAAGAAAGCTTCGCCAAGTCCTAGGTCCCAAAGATTTAGGCTTTCTCCTACGTTATCTTCTAAATGTTTTACCTTTATCTACGCTTCATTTTTAGTTAAGTTTTGTATAAGATGTAAGAGGTTTAGATCAAGTTTTTTTTTTTTTGGCTTATGAGTGTCCAATGGCTTCACCATCATAATATCGAAAAGATGATCCTTCCTCCATTGAATTGCTTTTGCACTTTTGTCAAAAATCAGTTGGTCATACTTGCATGAGAGCTATTTTTGGTTTCTCTCTTCTGTTCCACTGATCGGTATGTTTTTCCTTCTGCCAATACCACACAGTCTTGGTTATTGCAGCTGTAAAACAAGTCTTGAAATTGGGTAGAGGATATTGTGTTTCCTTCCACTTTAGTTTTTTTCAAAACTGTTTTAGCTATTATAGTTCCTTTGTATTTCCATATAAATTTTTGGATAATTTTATCTCTATCTGTAAAAAGTCAGCTGGGATTCTGATAGAAACTGTGTTAAATCTATATATCAATTTGGGGAGCATTAACATCTTTACTATGTTAAGTATTCTAATCCATGATTTCTACTCCATGAATACAGTATGTCTCTGCATTTCTGTGTATTTTCTTTGATTTATTTCATCAGCATTTTGTAGTTTTCAGCATTCAAGTCCTGCACATGTTTTATTAAATTTAGGCCTTAGTATTTAAATTTAACAATTGCAAGTAATATTGTATCTTAAACTTTGGTTTCAGCATGTTCATTGCTAATGTATAGAAATACAATTGGCTTTTATAGATTGATTTTGTATATCCTGTGATTTTTCTGAACTCATTTACTAGTTCTGGGGTATTTTGTAGATTCCTTGGACTTTTCTACATAGACCATAGGGTCATCTGCAAATAGGGACAATTTTATTTTTTCCTTTCCAATCTGTATGCCTTTTATTTCTTTTTCTTGTCTTATCGTGCTGGCTAGAATGTCCAGTACTATGTTGAATACGAGTGGTGGGAGTGATATCTTTGCCTTGCTTCTGATCCTAGAGGGAAAGCATTCACTCTTTCACTAGTAATGTGATGTGAGCTGGAGATTTTAGCAGATATTCTTTATCAGCTTGAGAAAGTTCCTCTACTTCTAGTGTTCTAAAGATTTTTTTAACACGAATGAGTGTTACATTTTGTCAGATGCTTTTTCCACAGCAATTCATTTGATTCTGTGATTCTTCTTCTTTAGCCTGGTAAGATGGCAAATTATATAGATTCATTTCTGAATGTCAAACTCGCCTTGCATCCCTGGACTAAACTCCACTTGGTCATAGTATGCAATTATTTTTATATCTTGCTCAGTTCTCTCTGCTAGTATCTTATTAAGAATTTTTGCAACTCTAATCATGAGGGATGTTAGTCTGTGGGTTCCTTTTTTAGTACTGTCTTTGGTTTTGGTATCAGGGTAATATTGAATCCCTCAAGTGAGCGGGGACATGTTCTGTCTTCTATTTTCTGGAGAAGATTGTGTAGAATTGGTGTTAATTCTCCTTTAAATAGCTTATAGAATGATCTAGTGAAATTATCTGGGCCTGGAGATTTGTTTTTGGAGCTCTTTAATCACAAATTCAATTTCCTTATTAATTACAGGAATATTCAAGTTATTTGATCCATATTGAGTGAACTGTGGTAGTTCACATTTTTTGAGGACTTGGTCCATTTTATCTAAGT